TTCCCCTCTGTAAACATTTATGTCATTGCTAGTCAGAGTTAGTTCCTTGCTATAAATATTTGTTATCACCGTTAGTTTCCCTACTGTAAACATTTATGTCATAGCTGGTCAGAGTTAGTTTCTAGCTATAAATATTTGTTATCACCATTAGTTTCCCTCTGTAAACATTTATGTCATTGCTAGTCAGAGTTAGTTCCTAGCTCTAAATATTTGTTATCCCCGTTAGTTCCCCTCTGTAAACAGTTATGTCATAGCTGGTCAGAGTTAGTTTCTAGCTATAAATATTTGTTATCATCGTTAGTTCCCCTCTGTAAACATTTATGTCATTGCTAGTCAGAGTTAGTTCCTAGCTATAAATATTTGTTATCATCTTTAGTTCCCCTCTGTTAACATTTATGTCATTGCTAGTCAGAGTTAGTTCCTAGCTATAAATATTTGTTATCATCGTTAGTACCCCTCTGTTAACATTTATGTCATTGCTAGTCAGAGTTAGTTCCTAGCTCTAAATATTTGTTATCCCCGTTAGTTCCCCTCTGTAAACATTTATGTCATTGCTAGTCAGAGTTAGTTCCTAGCTATAAATATTTGTTATCATCGTTAGTTCCCCTCTGTAAACATTTATGTCATAGCTAGTCCAGTTACTGTCAGTTCTGAACTGTCAACAGTTGTTGTCACGGTTAGTTCCCCCCATTATAAACAGTCCCTAGCTGATCACTGAAATCAGTATAAGTAAACATGTAGCAAATGCAAAGAACATTTTTTTTGAATAATATTAATATGTTATAAAAAATCTGGTATATAAGGCCTCTTTACCGTCATTTGGTTTCTTTATAAATTTCACCCCTAACTCTTCAAAGCGCTTGCATGCTGCATCAACGTCTGGTACCACCATTCCAATATGACCTGCAAGTACAACATTAAAACCATTACTATTTCCTGTTAATTCTATTATTAGAATTTAAGTACTTAGACTAGTGCGCTCTTTATTAAACCAAATTTTGAAAATGTGCATGAAGTTTCATGACAATCGGATAAAAAAGATGTTTGTAAAGTGCTGACCGTGACAACAAAAACTATCATATTACATACATGTAGAGTAATGGAGACTTGGTTTTAAACACCAGAAGGTCAAAACAAAATGTCCTACAAGAGGTGGAGGAGGTGAAAATGCATGGAAATGTTCATGACTACTCCATAAGAAATAAGTTGTAGAGCTCAATAGGAAAATTTACTGGTTCAGACCAAAGAAGATTGAAATGTGAATTTGCACAAAAGATTATCTTTGTGAAAACACAGAAGTTTCATGCCAAGGATACAGGCACACCCCTATAGACCATTGTCTATACTACAGGTAGATCCCTATATACCCTTTTCAACAGGTAGATCCATATGTGCCCTTTTCAACCGACAGATACCTATATACCTATGTCTACAGGTAGATCCCTATATAACCGTGTCTACAGGTAGATCCTAATATACCTTTGTCTACAGGTAGATCCTAATATACCTTTGTCTACAGGTAGATTCCTATATACCCTTGTCTACAGGTAGATCCCTTTATACCTTTGTCCAGAGAAAGATCCCTATTTACCCTTGCCCAGAGAAAGATCCCTATAGACCCTTGTCTAAAGGCAGATCCCTATATACCCCTTTTTACAGGCAGATCCCTATAAACCCTTGTCTACATGTAGATCCCTATATAACCTTGTCTACAGGTAGATTCCTGTATTTTTAGTCCTTCTTAAATGGGGAAAATTCAAAACATCTATAGACTTTTGGATATTCTATGATCAAATTGGAAGAAAATGGCTTAATATCAATGGGTAATTGGGCTAAACTACATCCTGAAACATATTCCTTCAATGCCTCAATTAGATTCTTCTTCTTTTGGGGTAGGTAATATTCAGAGTACATAACTGCATTAATGATTTGATGCCTGATATATAACTTTTGCATGAAATTACATAAAAAACATTATTTATGAAGGAGGATATTTACATCAAGGCCCTTAACTCTTTCTAAAGGGAAAGGCACAATGGCAGTTACACATGCACAGGCATACCAAGGGCAATCACTCCCTTAGAAGCAATTGGTAAGCATGAAAGTCCTCAGTGAACAATTTCCATCATTGTTTACAGGCATGTATTCAAGATGTAACAGGTTCCCATTTTAAGAGAATTGATGATTTTTTCTTCAAAAAAGTATTTCTTACCAAATCCTCTTGGTTCGGAATTACCATTGTGGTAAGAGAAATCAGGATCCTTTTCTGTCCCCCAGTTACTGGAAAAGAATACATCAATTACATCAAATGTCTTCAAAAGTGGGAATTGGTGTAATGCTAACAAAAGATATCGAGTTCTAGAATCTTTGGCCATGGTTGAATAAGAAGCAGAGCAGAGAGCATGCATTGCTAACCTGGATATTTAAGCAATCATGACAAAATAGTATCATTAAAAAGTAGTACAGGTTACAGGTATTTAAAAAAAAATCCCCATTTTCTGCTCTGCTGCTCTGGTCTCATGGATGCTTTATAGAAAATATGTTTGAGTAAGTCCCCAGGAATGGGGCCTGATCCTGAAAATAAACCTAGTAGCATATTTGTGTACTTTTCTTCATGCCCAGCAAGCATTTATTGTTATATGGAGCAAATAACAAATCTTTCCAAGTTACGATCAAAGGACTAAAGGGAAAGATGCACCTTTTGAAATTTGGAAAGAATAAAATATATTCTTTAGCCCATGTTAATGTTTGACCAAGACCAGCACTCGAAGTTGACTGTTGACCTAAACCAAATAGCTGAAGTTAGGTTCACACTGTTGGTAAACATAACATAAGTATAAAGGCTTTAGACTTTATGGTCTTTTAGAAAATGTTGTCAGAAACTTTAACATATTTGACCCCTGTGACCTTTAAAAAGGTTAAGGTCATTTATCTGAGGACACTTTATAGGACTCCATCTCATGCATATACTGGCTAAACAACAGGACCCTGGGTTTTCAGTTTTCAAGAAGAAGTCATTAAAAGTCAAAGTCCAAGGACAGATGAAGTACTCACCACTTTGCATAATGATGATTTAGCTCACTAAATATTGAATATGAGTGGTTTGTAAAGAAAGCACACTTAGGAAAACATGTATTTCTTTATATAGAACTGTACATAAATCAACCTTGCAGAGCTTGCATGCAATGGGCTAAAAGATAAATAATGTTAATATATATATATTTATAGAATGCTGTTAATATTAGACAAACATCTGATAAAGTTGTGCACCAAATTATTCCTTTGTCAGACTGGATTAAAAGTAGATTTTCTCACAGAAAATGCTATACAGTTGCTAATGAACTGTTGATGCTGAACATCTTCAGCGTTCTGAGATAAAATTCTTGTACTAGACTTACTGTGTTAGTTCTAACGTTGCTTTCTGATCAAAACAAAACTTTGTCTTAGCCTTTTCATCATCTGGAATGTCTTTGGATGGAACATAGGCCACAAAATATAGAGAAAAATTCATACTCTCAAAATCCATTTTCTTCAGTAGGCTGAAAAACAATCACAACTTGAATTATTACATACCAGGTAAATATCTTGTTATTTCCACAGTTTAAACCTTGCTTCCTCAAAATTACTAACTGTTAAGTAAAATTAAAAGAAAACCAGCCTTAGCAAGTCTTATTTTTAACAATTGAAAATTAACTAACAGGTTCAATTTCAACTTGAATTTGATTTTAGTGAACAAAAACATGTGTCTCCTCTTATTTGTCAATATGTATATTTGATGTGGAAGGCCAGAGCATTCCAACAGTTTAAAAGTTACATCGGAAAAGTTTGCATTTATTTGACCTTTGACCTTGAAGTCAAGGTCACAGTGGCCTTATGATAGTGCAATACATATCATCTGTTGATGATGCAAGTAATTTGCAAGATTCATCAGGGTATCTTTAACAGTTTAAAAGTTAGTCTGGGCAAGGATCTTACTGAAAAGTTCACTTTGCACTAATTTGACCTTTGGCCTCAAGGTCAAGGTCAAAGTGACCTAATTACAGTACACTGCATATTGTCTGTGGATGATGCAGGTATACGTCAAGATTTGTGAAGATATATTTAACTGTTTAAAAGTTACAGTTTGGATAAGAAATGATTAAAAGAACCAGTAGTAACTCGCACATTATGTCTTCATTCATTCTAAGGAAAGGCATTATTAAAAAGCTAAACACTAGTGAAAGTTTAGCATGTTTAGCCTGTGAGTTGATCAATAACATCTTCCATACTCAAGTCTAATTTTTTTTACTGAAATGCATAACAATGTTCTATGAGTAAGATAAAGCCTTGACTAACCATTTAAAATTAGTTGTACTGCAGTGTAAAAGTAAATTTTACTGCTTTGATCTCAGACAAGCTTTTCTTCTAATCTTAAAGGTACAGGTACCATTGTGTACCACCCTCGTGATTGGTCAGTTGTTGATGTCTGACACCAATCAAATAGCTAACTCCAGTCTATTAGCCTTTAATTCTGTCATAAAAAAATCCAAAGCAGATATGTAATATTTAGGAACAAAGCTCTTGGATTTCAAGGACCATAAACAATGGCATCAGAGGTAGATACTCAAATAAGTCCTAATCATTTGCACCTATTTTTTAACATATTTTTTAATAAGTAGACCTAGAGAAGGTAGTGCTCCACATAGTTATTTCAAGTAACTTCTAATTTCCTCTACTGGTCCCTTCTTCTCTTCCAAAAATGTGTGTTTGTGGAGGGGAACATTGAATTCACTTTGTGCAGTAATGCTTCAGACTGATTTTGGGTAATAGTCCTTTCCTGACACTGAAGATGTAGTATTTAAAAGATATACAACTATTTGCCATATTGAGATCAGTGTGTCATCCTCCAGAGGTGTCCCACCTTTCCTTTGTGCAACTTTGAGTCTATTAGCCCAGTGATTTCTCAGACCAAATTTGGTTCTAATACCTCCAGCCATACTGAACAGGAATTTACATCTATATCCCATATTGGGCAGCCAGGGCTCTTTCCTTCTGCCCCAAATGGGGCCATTCATGTTTTTAGAGACCAAAACTGTTTCGATTCCCTTCACACTTACTGAAAAGTAGTCCTTTAAAAATCATTTCTGCCTCCAGGTTGGCCATACTCTTTATTTATACAATAGTGTCACCGACCTTTCAGAATAAATTTGTAATGAGTCGAAAAAAATGTGCCAATGCCCTTCACCATTACTATAGGAGAAGTCTTTAAGAGATTTACCTCCGTCTCCTCTATGAGGCCATATATCCCTCGGTCTCTAGGGGTCCCATACTCTTTGTTTATACAACGTTTAGTCCCCTTGGCCCTGTGATGCCTAATACCAAATTTGGTTCAAATGACTCAAACTCTACTGACGAAGTAGTCTTGATTTGAAATCTACTAAAGAAAAAGTATTCTTATTAAAAATGTACCTGTTTTTCCAAATAGGCCATATCCCTCTGCCCCTAGCAGTGTCATACCTTTTGTTTTAACAACACAGAGTCCCTCTGGCCCATTGAAATAGATGGACTAATACATCATGCCATAACATATTATGTTCACAAGCTCACATGCCTTTCAGGCTTGGTATCAGAATTATACAATGATTACCTCATTCCCATCACTTTGGTGTAGAATTCCAGGGAAGCTTTTGGATCTTTGATTCGCATCATTGTTTGTTGAAAATAAAATCCCTGAAAATATGAGCAAACAAACTATAATCATAACAATTCTTATGGACTCTTTTAGCATTGTGAAAAAATAAATAAACAATTATTAGTATGTATGGTGGAATGCAAAAATCACTGAATGACCTTAACCTACTCCCAAGGTCAAAGGACTCAATTGTATGAAAACAACACTTCTGAAAGACTACACTTGACCAAGACTGATGACATTCATTATTGGTCTGCTGAATTGAAAGACTTTGCAATTCAAAATAAATATACCAAACTACTCAACACGGGAAGATAATTACAAAAAGTTGAAATATCATCATCCCCCATAGAACCACAATGACAAGACTCCTAGTATAGTTTACTGGTGATTGATTAGCAGCTGATGTATATGTCATACTTGTCAACTTTTTAGAATTTCAATGGGGGAGGTTGCTTGTGCTCATACTAAAATGCATCAATAAAATGTTTGTATGTACATCCTTGGGGAAAACATTACACTTTTAAATGGCATCTTTTGAGTTGTTCCTTCAGCTGTAATCATCAGATCATAGAAAATAGGAATGGTTTAGCAAATTCACTGGTTGAAAATGCTCAATTTTAGGGTTGAAAATGCTCAATTTTAGGGTCCAAAATTGGGAGTCTCATTTGGCAAGTATGATATGTGGTGACTAACCCTATCACACTGCTAAAGAAATGTTGACATTGTCGTTGATAACTTCCCCTCCTTCCCCTTAAGATCATTTAATGTACAGACAGAAAAAAACACTACATTGTATTTAACACTGCTAGATTTTAAAATTAAAGCTTCAAACTTTAAAGAAATGTGGACATTGCAAACGCATGTCCCCTCCTAAGAACCCCCTTAAAATCATTTGATATACAGACGGAAAGAATACTATTTATTACTATAAGATTTTTTACAAGAAAGCCCTAGCTTTCTTCACTTTCCCTCCTCATCGAATTTATGATCAAGATATCAACTTATTAAAATAAAAGTAATATAATTTTGTTTGTTAAAAACTATTTTTATAATTTTATTTCTTTCTTGTGAATCAATCATCCATAATAAACTTAAAGCTTCTGTTCGGGGGGGATCTATATTTGCTAAAATGGCATATACATATGTTTTAAATACTTATGAAAGATAGCGATTCAGATTTTGCTTTAACAATACATAATATACGTTACTATAATACACTTCATAGTTCATGAGTCACGTCAGAAGGTATTGTAGGCCTGATCCCGGATTTCGCATCCCGGAGATGATCTGCAATACATCCGTTAGGACATGATTCAAGGATACATACCGGCAGCTAGATGATAAACTCGCCCCATTATTGAGTCGACTAATACGAACCTGCCGCTTACACAATCGATTTGTTATATGCCTTAGGTGTAAGTTTGAAAAACTGTATATTCAATATTTGTTAAAATAAATTTGAAGTTAATAAATCATCATGAATTCCATGAAATAAAATAGGGTTACTGTATGGCCGAGTTAACCAAAATCTGTATACATTTTTTGTATGCTGTGGATTGTTATCAAATACAACTGTTTCTAATAAGAATGGGAATACCTTCGATTCAATTATAAATTACCTTTGTCGCTTCATCGGGTTCACAGCATGCTTTGCTGGTGTCATCCGCTGAGAGAGCCATTTTAGACTTGTCTGTAAAGTGATCGAGGTGCCGATTGTGTTATCTTTCGTATGAGTGTAGGCTGAATCGAAAACGAGGTTTTATATATCAGCCTTCCTAGTAGGCGCGTTCGATACTGGGATAGGAAATGTCTTAACGAGGCCCCACACACTACCATGTTTCGCACGCGCTCTTCTTCTCTTTTTTTTCCAAACCCTGCAGTTCTGATCCGTTTTAACAAGTTAGATATAGAGGCCGAGGTATTCCGGATGCCATAGCCATGAAAATGCATTACTCTAACAAGTGTCTCGATGACAAGTTTTACCGCTAATGAATAGTAAGGAGCGCTGAGATACCCGGCCAGGTCCATACCCGTTTATTTCACATGCTGAACATGTACGAATATAACCAAGACTATCGCATGACAATGCCACCATATAACTATACCACATGGAGATGACATTCATTAGGCCATGGATGCCATGAACCCACTGTTGATATCATCATTAATATGACGTCATGATTATAATGTTTGATACCACCACGGACTTAGTCTAATCTAATTCCGTGATACCACTAACCCTCCCTAGAGAGATGGCTGTTCTATCAAATGAACAAGCACATATGCATACTGCATTATTTGAACTACATGCTGAATATTAATTGAATGTACAATGTTTCCAAAAACAGTAAACACAAGTTTTGAACTACTTTCAGTTGAAATCCGTGGACTCTTTTTTTTGCCCGATTGGAATTTGTATTACCTATGAATGCCAACTGAAAACAGTTAAATGTTTAACTGTAATATTGGTTCGCAATACCCCACATGTTATCAACGTTAATGACGTCACAGTGTACGCCGAATGTATGGCGCCAACGTATCTTCTCTCCGGTGTGTCGATGGGATCGCGTTGGCAGAAGGCACATACATGTACTGACCAAATATGCTAACGAAATGATGTGCCGTAGGAGTTCAGTTCTAATGCCTCAATTAACACCTCCAATGAGATTCAGTTTTGGCAAGGAGCCTTACATGGGTAATGCAGGTCTCATCCTAACCTGTTATCCCATCCTTGTCTCCAGATATATATATATAAAAAAAAAAAACATCCACTGGATTGGAGTCTACGACGTTATAATCTTAAATTCTAAAACAATTTTAACTTACTGGCAGGCTACATGTAGCTTTTCCAGCGATACGGTACAATCCAGGGCGAGAATACATTGTAGGGCCTGCACTTTAATTGGAAGAAGAAGCAGAGCCCTGGAACGCGCTCACTGGTTCAGCAACGTAGAGCTGGATGGGTGCCCGCCTGCACGTTACACCTAAAACATGAGGAGGCCTCCGACGTTATCGAAGCGTTCCTGTCACAGGCTTCCAGACAGATGAAGGCGTTCACAAAGGCATGATAAACATCCAATAGAACAAAGTACTTAACAAGCTATCAGCACTCAATACCCTTGATGGAAACCAGAAAATTTAGACGTATTGTAAGAACCGTGCCAACAGGCAATAGCCACAAAGAGAGTGAGAATGCCTATCACTCACGACAAAAACGCAGCGAACGATAGTGCCAACACTGCCGCGAAAAGATTCTTGTCACACATTAAGCAATCCGATTAAAATCATCTGTTAGGCTCCGTTAACTTCGGCGGAGACATGAAACAGATGATTTTAATCAGATTGCACATTAAGGACAAGAAACAGGAAGTAGTTTGGGTTGCACCTCTTAGGAATTCCGACAGGCTGGTGTACAGAAACACGAAAAGAAAATCTGCGATCCTCGATCAACCAGCAATTAAGTGCGTTTAACACAAGAGGATACCCAGTGGACCGTCTTCTCCATCGACGGCTTGGATACAAGTAAATACACCGGTAACCAGGCGCGTAACAACCTATGTAGCAAAAAAGCCCGGGCTTACACATCATTTTTGACAAAATAAAAATAAAATAAACGCAACATAGACTATATGATATAAAATATTAAAAAGCAATGACAGATGTTTTGTATCTGCTGTAAAGACCGCCAACTAAAATGCTTCGTTGCAATCAAAGTCTCTAACAAATGTAGCACTGAGGGTAGCATATTCGTTCGGCATGGTAACCAGTATATCGGTTCTTATGTACATAACGTTAAACTATTCCTAGTGCTAGCTTGTGATACAAGTCTCATATCTCTGCGCAACCGGAGTCACAGTCGCGAGGAGAAACGTCACACTCTTACAACAAGTATCCCAAAATCCACATAATTTTAGATTTTTCTTTTCCGTGGAATAATGTTACCGAACACCATAATAGAACTGGCGTAGATGAGTACCAATCCCTTCGTACCCAAAAAGAAGCAAAATATTTGTAAAATAATAGGGGAAAATGATATTTTCTTGCTTTAAAATGGCCATTAAAACTGACGCCAGAACAAGGGAGAACGCGTCTCATGTGTTCTAGAAAACAAAATTCTCCTGGGGGAGACCCCCAAGACCCCCACCAATGGGAGGCGGAAAACCCCCTCCCATACCCTCCCCCTCCTCGCGCTACGCGCTTCGGGGTGCTGCCT